GCACATAACCACCACAACAACAACAACCAGCAGAAAGAACATATCTTTCTTGGAAGTAGTACAGCCAACATGCTCCTTAGGATGGTGAGATTTTGTCTGATGTTCTTAGGTATGTTATCAGAGGGACCAGTCCTTGGAAAAGGACATGATGGTTGATAAATAGAGAGTCAGTGAAAAAGAGAAAGACCCTCAACAAAATGGATTGACATAATGGTCGTAAGAATGGGCTTAAATAGAGCCACAACTCTGAGGAGGGTGCAGGACCAGGCAATGTTTCACTCCATTGTACGTAGGGTTATAACTAGATGGCACTCACAAACAACAACATTCCAAAGCAGGGGACTCTGAGAGAATTAAATCATGGTACATTAATTCATTAGAAAGTTCTGCACCTCGAGTAGCGACTGGGATCTTAAAAGCTTGCAAGCAGCCATTGAAGATACAACTATTGGTCTCTCCTCCTTCAGAGCAAAGAAAATAAAAGATGCATAGAAAGAATTAGTCCAAAGGACTAGTGGATGGACCATGGGAACCTCAGCCTATATGACTCTGAGACCGGAAGAACTAGATGGTGCCTGGCTACCACTGGCAGCCACTCAGAAAGGGATCAAAACAGGAAATCCTGGATAGAGTGGGAGAAAGATGTGGAACAAAACTTAAAATCCTAAAAAAGAAAAGAAAAAGACCAGGATTACTGGTCTGATAGAGGCTGGTGAAAACCCCGAGACTACAGCCCCTAAGCCACACCTCAGGCCTGGGATTGAATTTACTCTCATGGCTTAACTTTCAGTCAAAAAACAGACATGCCTCTAAAATGAATATTTACACCAGGGAAGTGTACTCTTTAGCACAATCAACCATGGGAGATCAGAAGGGCAGCATTTGCACAGGGAGAAAGCTCAGAGGGCAGGAATACATAGGAAAGAAAGACACAAGGAACAGGTAAGCACAGAGAGGAAGTGGGAATATAGTTACATTTTGGGGATTACAACCAACGTCATGAAACAGAATGTGTAGGAACTGTAGAATGGAAAATGAAATTGCTCTGTAACCTTTCACCTAAGTCACAATGAAAAGTTAAAAAAAAAAAAAAGAGGTTATACATGGACCAAGATGACATCAGCTTAAAAATTAAATAAATACTTTTACATACCTGTTGAACTGTTGAATTCATTACTCTTGAATCATATTAAAGGATATGGGAAAGTGCTCCAGATACATTCTTAAATGAAAAATTTAGGTTTGTATCATAAATTTTCAATTTTGTTTTTAAAAAATATAGCACAGAAAATGTGTGAAAGAAATAAGGACACATACCAAGTCATTATCAGGCACACATTTTCTATGGGGAGCAAGCGTAAGAGGGCAAGAGCTTTTGAGTTTTATATTTTGCTATTGTTTGAACTTGCTGCAGAGAGCATATTATTTTTATTTTTCAGAAGTGAGAAGAAGAAAAGGATAAATATTGTACATCCAGGAAAATGTCTGAAAGGATATATATATAAAAAAAATCTCTGGGCCATTTTTATTTTCTTAAGTTTTTTATACTCCAAAGTAAATGTGTAAATACTTCCTAATAATCAGAGAAAAAGCCATAAAAGAAAATAATCTATAAAATATAAATAATACTCATGGTACAATTTGACATCTGTTCACAGAACCAAAGGTTATAGGGTTGGCTAAGGGTGATCTTCTTCAAAGATATTTGGATCTGATTTCTTTTACTTCTTAGGGATTCATGCTTACTTTTGTTGCTGCTGAAGCCATCACTACATTTTGTGTGTGTGTGTGTGTGTGTGTGATTTCTATTCAGCATGGCCAAGAAGGAAAATTGAGGCCAACCACAAGGCAAGCTTTCCTGAAAGAAGACAAAAAGCCTCTGTAACCTGTGGAATGAAGACTTCTCCAACAGAACGTGACTCTCTGGTCATTAATGATTTCGATTGCTAGTGGACAGAAAATTTTAACGAGAACAAAGCATCAGAGCCTTTGCAGGGCTTTGGTTGTCATCCCAGGCCAACCACACTGGTAACTTTATATTATAATGAGGGGGACAAAGAACAAGGTGTCCCATTCACAACCAGGCTCCACAACCAGGGGGTCCCCAGCCTTTGCAGAGCCTTTCACTGAAGTGGAAATGAGAATGGACTCTCAAGGAGCGCAAAAGGGCCAGGAGCAGGTAAATCACTGTCAGCCATATAAATAATGGCAGAAAATGGGCAGAAGAGATGAAAAGATGCCGTCTGATCACTCACCAATGGAAAGATGTGCACTAAATCAGGGTGTTTTCTGTCTGACACTGTTGTTTTTACTGAACAGTTAAGCACCCAAGGAAATACCAGTTGGGTCTTAAAGACAATTTATAGCTTGGTGGGCCTCATTGCACCTGGCTGTGTTTTGACAGCAGGTTTCGTCAGTTTATAGCAGAGATTCCTGTCAGTATTATAAGCTGTCACTAACACAACTAGATCTTTGGAAAAAATGTACAGCTTAGAGGTAAATAGCTCCCTTCCACGTGCCTCTCCCTCTTTTAATGAAAAGGAAAAGCCACTTGCTCGTGCAAAGCCCCCTCCTCTTCAGGGGAAATTACAGAGCCTTCTGGGAGGGAGAGGGTTAGCCTCAGGGCTACAACCCAAATGGGTGTGCCTGCTTCTAGGCACGCAATTATTGACTCTTTCTTTTCCTTTCCCTGGGGACAGTTCCTGCAAACAGCGGCACTGTTGTTCTGGGCCAGGGAATTCACTAGTCAGGCTCTCTGAGCTCCCAATACTTCCCAGCCTTCAGGCTACACCAAGAATATCTGTGAGCCCTGGATCAGAATGGCCATGGAATACCACATAAATGGCTTCTGTGAATGTTTCCCCACCCAAGACAAGAAAAGCAAGGCTCAACTATTCAGGACCAGGCAAACCTTAACTCTGTTTTCTCTGGGTTTTGTACCCAGAGTTTAAGTTAAGTTTGGACATCATCTTAGAAAACAAAAGATGGCATTATACTATATGTGAGTTGAAAGTACTTCTTCCTAGGACCAGGTGTTGCCTTGCCCAGTCCCTGTTATATTTTGGTTTTGTTTTTCAAGACTCAGGATTTTATTCTTTTTTTTTTTCCTCCCAGGAAGACTGGACCAAACAAATAACTTTTAACAGGTGACACACATTATTGAACTGAAGGCAACGTGTACCCCCTTAGGAATCTGGGCTACTGGTGGCTGGTAGCAGACATACTCCCCTGTGTGGTGGAAAAGGACAAAGGCTGTAGGAGAGGGATGGAAAAGGTAATGGAGAACAGCCTCCCACCTCCCTGTTCCTTAATTTCATGGTTCACAGACATTCACTGACATTTAGACACTCCCAAAGGGAAGCTCATATAACCAACCATGTGCCAATGGACCAGAAACAAGAAATGAATCAGCTAAAGGGGCAGCTCGTCTGGGCCTAGGGCTGAGTTCCCCACCAACAGGAGTATCACTGCCAGACATCCAGGACTGCCACCATGAGGCAGGCCCAGCCTAGGAAAGCATAGGTCTGCAGTGTCTCTTCAACTAGCCATTCTAGGATGCCACCCTGGGACTTACTAATGTTATTACATTACATTATGATGACTTGGTAAGTCATCATTGAGGTTAATGAGGTGGCCTAGAGCTGCCCACGAAGCCCTGGGTAGCCCTGGGCCTGGGGACAGTGGAAGGGGAGAGGGCTCCAGGTCATGTGATCCCCAGGAAGCTAAGGCTGGCAGGGAAAATGCTTTGTCTCAGAATTGCCAATGGGTTGAAAGGGAAGGAGAGAATAAAATCTCACATAGGAGTGGGCCCAGGTCCCTGAGACAGAGAAACAATCTAAACAGGTCATATGGAGGAAAAGGTCAGCCTGAGGCGGGGATGCTGGACCAGGGGAGGGAGCTGAGGGGCAGCCAAGCTGGGGTAATGAGGACGGAAACCATGGGTAGGACATAATCAGATGAGAATTGCAGCTCATTGTCTGCTCCACCCAAAGAACAGACCTGGAGGAACTAAACTGTTGCCTGATGACTCCACCAAAACACACCACAAGTTATAAAGACCTCATTTAATGCAAAGTTCAGGGTCTACCACCACATTCCACGTAGTGCCATGGTCACTGGAGGCAGTGAAATAGGGATGAGGACATCAGCATTTTCATGACTGAGGGATACTCCACCTCTATATCAGTAAAATAATTACTTTTATATAATATACATCAACTGTTGTAATATATATAAAGTTATATCCTATAACTTTTACATTATATATATACATATACATACATATCTATCTATCTATCTATCTATATCTTTTGTCATGATCAATACACTAAGTAGCAAGCTTTACTATTCTTCATAGACTTGCCTAAAGTAGTTATTTTTAGTGTACCTTTGGTATTCCAGAACTCTCAAGCCAGTCTTGGAAGATGTTTTCAACAGACAACTCAAGCCTTTAAAAAAAAAAATAAATAAATAAATAGTTAAAAAGTTATGGAGTACTTATTATGCAGAAGGCACATTCTCAGCATAAATCTTCCAGAGAAAAACTTATCCTTTGGAGAAGGAACAACATATACTTTATATAATGCATTTGAACTTCACAGAATTTTATACTTTTCAAAGAGGGCTGACACAAGCTAAAGAATACAAATAATCATAGAACCAAAGAGAGGCTGAGAAGCGTAGTGCACGCATGGCTTCCACTACTGCTGTTTAAAAGCAGGTCCAAAGTTTACTTTATTTGAAGTATTGTGATTGCTCTCTACATCTGATCCTTAGTCAGCTGAAATTCTTTTGATTTCATGCCCCAGTGACTTGAATACTCCTTAAAATTACTAAGTATCCAATACATTTAGGGTCAAGTGACTTTAGGTTTTGTCTTCCTCTGCTAATCAACTGGGAAGCAAACTTCCCCCATTCCTGGCTTCTTCTGTCCCGTACATGCCTGCACCTCTGCTTACGGAGAGGCATTCATTGATCCCTCTCCCAGACTAACGCAGGGCTCCCTGTGTACAGAACATCTACCACCCTTACTGTCCTATCTTCTCATCATTCACCCATTTGTGATTGAGACACAGTTGGGTACTATACTTTTAATTGTCTCCTCCTAGGATGGGAGCTCTCTGAGACTAGGGCCATGTCTGTTTTACTCACTTCTCCAAACCCAGCATGCAGAACACTTCCTGCCATGTAAGAAGATCCCATAAATAGATCTTTATTATCATTATTATTGTTAATGAATGAAAGCACACTTCACTGTTGATTCAATAAAAAAGTACTCTTGGGGGAAAGGAGTTGTTTTTGCTTAGGGGGCATTAAGTTTATGTTAATGATATGGGAATAATTTGGAAAAGGATTTTGACAATGGTAGCAACACATTAAGAATGTAATCAATGTCATGGAATTGTATTATGGAAATTGTTGAATAAATGGTTTTCTTGTATATCTTTTTATCATAATAAAAAAAAGTCTAAGATAATAATCACCTTCTCAAGTAAGACATTTCTAAGTGGTTAAACTCTGGATCTTTTCTTATTTTATATATTGTATACTACATTATATACCCACAACCTGCCTGTCAGTTTTTGTGCTGTGGTAGCAAGCATGTTGCTATAATGTTGAAAACTGTCACTGGTATTTCAAATACTAGCAGAGTCACCCGTGGTATAGGTTTCAGCGGAGCTTCCAGACTGGTAGACTAGGCAGGAAGGTCTGGTGATCTACTTCCAAAAATTAGCCAACGAATACCTATTAGGCCATAATAGAACATTGTCTGACTTGCTTGTTTTGGACACATCACCAGGGGGGGATCACCCATCAGAGGAGGACATCATGTTTGGTGAAGTAGAGGGCCAATGAGGGCATGGGGACATGGAGACCCTCGATGAGATGGACTTACACAAAGCAACAGTGATGGACCTGTAATGCCTGTGATCTTGAGGATGGCACAGGACCCGGCAACATTTTGTTCTGTTGTGCGTAAGGTTGCCATGAATCAGAGTCAACTCGATGGCAGTTAACACATATTTTATATATACATACATGGGAGCTCTGGTGGCTTAGTGCCTAAGGCATTTGACCAGAAGGCTGGCAGTTCAAAGCCATCAGCCACTCCTTGGAAGAAAGATTGAGCAATCTATTTCCTTGGAGATACCACCTCAGAAACCCAAGGAAGGGTAGCTATGAGTTGAATCAACTCAATGGCAATGAGTTTGGTTTGGTTGGTTGTGTTAGTTTTCACATGCTATCTCCTTTAATTTTACTTAAGAGTCTGCCAGAGAGGTTTAGAAAATTGAAATTTGGAGGGTTTAAACTCATAGCTGGGATATGGCAGAGGTGAGGTAAGGATCAACATAAGCCTGACTTCATACCTCAAGCTCTTATTACTCTGCTATGTTTTCACCTTCAGTTATACAGGATTTCCTTATGTTAAGTCACACTAACGGATTCACTTTAGAACTTTCCTCTCCTCTAGTCTTTCCCATAGCAGCTGAGCCACAGACTGTCCCTGGCTTGCCTTCTGTACCACTCTTTGGGGAAGAGAGTACCAAATGATTTTTCCCTCCTTCTTCCCAGGGAGAAATTAGTTATTGGTGAATATTTATCTTCTTCCCCTGCCAGGGCAAAAAGCAAAGATTGTGTAAGGAGGCAACTGTTGCTATTTCAAAACAGGAAAAAATATATATAGGAAAAGAGGGATTATGCAGAGAGTGTTTTTTATTCATTTTAAAGATGTTCATCTATGGGGATACTGGGCAGGAGAAGGGAAAAGGACAGAATGAAAAGAGGAAAGATGATTACCTCTGTAGGCTGTTTGCTTGGGGGTTCAACAGGTTCCCAGACTCAATGGGTTTACTGGACATGACTCAGATCATGGTCACTGGGCCTTTCTCCACTGCTTCTCTGTTGTCTTTTATCAGTGTCAATCTCAGTGTGAATGGCCAAGCCCCTATATAAGTTGTGAGAGTATGGAATTGTGTGTGTGTGCATGTATCACACATGTGTATATGTGTGCCCACATATGTGTGTATGCATGTGTGTACATGGATGTAGGGGCATCCCTCTCTGTGTGTACATGTGTGCATGCATGTGTATATGTGGATGTCTCTGTGTGTGTGCATGTGTGTATGCAAGCACACATGTGCATGGGTGTGTGTGTGTGTGTGCATGAAAGAGGAGGCAGCTCTCAGAGCACTTTAGATCCATATCTCTGTTCTTTCTTAAGCTTGATTTATTTGGTTGGCCACAGGGAGAGGGGCTGGGAATGCCCTTCACTGGCATGAGTGATCTGCGAGGAGGAGGCCAGTGGATGGCCTGCTTAGAGAGAAGCAATAGTGAAGAAAGAACAGAGAAGAAGAAAAGAGGCCTTTGCTCTAAATCCATGCAGGCAACTTACAGTACTAGCATAACTCTCACAACTGCACAAACCCCAGAGCCGCTCAGGGATGGAAGAAAGGAACTTGACTCTGCCACCAAAGGAACTGTCCTTTCTAGTGACATCTGCAGTGGGAGGTGAGGTTATGGGGATAGTCTGTGTTAATTTCAAATGGGAACAAGCCCTCAATTGAGCAGTCTTGTCTTCAATAAAAATTATAAAATCTATACATGTAGGAGCTCTGGTAGTGTAGTGCCTAAGGCATTTGACTGCTAACCATAAGGCTGGCGGTTCAAACCCACCAGCCACTCCTCAGAAGGAAGGTTGGGCAATCTACTTCCATAGTGGTACCGCCTTGGAAACCCAAGGAGGGGTCACTATGAGTAGGATCTGACTCAACGGCATGTAACAACAACATAACATACATGTTACCTGAAAATAAAACAATTTCAGGTTTCTTTGGACACAGGTAAGAAAGTGTCCTTCAGTTGCTTACTTTCCCGCCAGAAAGGGGACCTCCTGGGTCTGGAACCTTGGAGTTCCTATCACTCATCTTTTAAGAGGTATTCAGATCAGCCAAAGTGAAGATGCTGACTTCTCTAAGGGACCTTTGTTAGGAAAACACGTCTGAATGGGGCTTCCACACTTCTGAGGAAGATGCAGAATGTAGAAAAGATTGAGAGAAGAGATGTAGTGATGATCAAAGAGGTAAGCACACTGGACCTACTAACAGGTCAAGGGAATGGGGAGTGAATATCCTGAAGAAGAGAAGTCTTAGGAGCCATTTTTGAGTTATTTTACAAAAGATGGTGAACAGCTGGTGTGCATCACCGTGGAGGAGTGAATAAGAGGACATGGACATAAATTTCCTCTGGGGGTGGTTTAGCTTAAAGATACTTTTTTAGGGAATGGTGTGAGGAGGGGGTTGGGAGTTGAGGCCTGGAATGTTATTGAGTGAGGTCCAAAGTCTTCACCACAGAAGGCTAAAGAATAGGCAAAGCCTTCTCTGTGTGACACATTCAGTGGATACCTAGTGGGCAGAAGGGTTCCATGGAAGATGGAGATAGAAAAATCAAGGACATGATTGTCTAAAAGGGACACTGGTAATGTTAGTTCCCCATCAAGTCAGTCCCTGACTCATGGTGATCTCACATACAACAGAGCAAAACGTTGCCCAGTCCTGCACCATCCCCACGATCATTTACAAATCAGACCATTTTGGTCCATAGAGTTTTCATAGCTGATTTTTGGAAGTGGATCACTAGTCTTTATTCCTCATCTGTCTTAGTGTGAAAGCTTTGCTGAAACCTGTTCAGCATGCAAGCCTCCACTGACAGACAGATGGGTGCAGAGGTGCATTGGCTGGGAACTGAACCTGGCGCTCCCTCCTACCAAGGAAGGTGAGAATTCTACCGCTGAACCGCCACTGCTCGCCTTTGCTTTGGTATTTAGGATAGATACTATTATGCAGCAGTATTAAAAACAAAAACAAAGAAACAAAAATTCCTCTGTCAATTCTAAATAAAGGCAGAAAAGCAATAATTATTGTTTACCGAACTACTGTTACATACTAGGCGCTATGACAAAAATCTCATTTAAACTTTACAGTAACAGTGAAAGAACAGTATTACTATGCTCGTTTTAGAGATGAGCAAATAAAGGCTTGGAGAAGTTACATAACTTATCTAAGGCCACCTTTGTTGTTGTTGTTGTTGTTATGTGCCGTCGAGTCGGCCCCGACTCATGGCGACCCCTCCTTGGGTTTCCGAGGCAGTATCACTACGGAAGTAGGATTGCCCAACCTTCCTTCCGAGGAGTGGCTGGTGGATTTGAACCACCAGCCGTCTGGTTAGCAGGCAAGTGTCTTAGCCACTATGCTACCAGAGCACCTAGATAGTACTTAAAGGGGCTGGGATTCAAACCTATGTTGTCTGGCTGCAAAGTCTCAGCTTTTCCTTTTGTGCTAAACTCAGGCTTTATGATGATGTGCCTGTTTGTGATTTATGGTGCAGACAAGCCTGCAGCGGGGAGGCCTGTCCTTGTGCAAAACAAATGCCTACTTCCCTTCTTGCGAAC